TCTTGTACTTTGAATTGGGAAGGGCTTTTTTCAGCATGAGTTCAATAGCCATAGGATGAAAATGAAGTATTTTCAGTTGAATGATAAGGAAGGATTAGGTTTGCTCAGAAACACCATGCTTTGCATACAGAAATAGATGTTGGCATGGAGTACAGCCACTACAAAAGCACTGATGCAAAAAAAAATTAACTTGTAAGATTATTTGTACTAGCGGTACAGATAAAATTGCATAGGTACAGCTGAGTGGTTCTGCAGGTCTTGATTCTTTGCTCCTTCAGATTGTACTCACTTGTTTTTCATTCCTGTTTTAAACTGGGTTATCACAGTTGGCACTGAACACGTGGGGCATCCTGTTGTGACAAGAGCAAAAACCTAGGGTAGACAGAGGTATGTGCTCCAGGAATTTAAAAGAGAATAAAGGCACAGAATGAGATTTCCCCTTTAAGATCAAGTCCCTAGAGTTAAATATTACATCACAGCAATGCACTGTAAGTCAAAAGGGCTGAAAATTATAAATTGCAAGTTTGGATGATTCATGCTGTCTGGCAGAGTCCAAAGCTTTGAGGGTGAATTGAAAATATCCTGTCACAGCTGGATTTATATAAACCTCTGGGCCAAATGCTGATTCCACCAATATCAATGGTAAAGCCTGCAGATGTCACTGGAAACAAGATGGCACAGCTGCGTGAAAAACAATGCGCTCAGCTACATGGTCTGGTCTGGTCTGCGTGTAAGCAGACTGGAGTGTTATTCAAGCTTACCAGATGACTTCTAAGGGCACAGTTGTGTGCAAGTCACCCCCTTATAAAATGTGAGTTATTATATGTTCTTAGGGTAGTTTTTGTTCACAAGATGTATAATGTAAGTAGTCTACTTAAATGAATAAGCTTGATATCTGGTAGTGCTCAGCATCTTTCCTGCTGTTCAAGTCAATGTAAATTATGGATGTTCTGATCAAATTACTTTTGAATTCACCAGACTCAGTGGTTACTTTTTCTCTGAAGATAAATGAGAGGGATTCCCATTTTAATCAAAACAAAATACAGAAAAGAAAATCAATTACTATTTGATGTTTTTTCCATCACTGTGTGCTGGAAAGCTTCCAGAGGGACTTGGGCTTAAAACTGCAAAAAATATAAAGCGCAGGAACGTGGCTGGGTTTTACCTATTGGATTTTTTTTTTATTTTTTATGCTATCAGAAAACATTGGCAGAGTGTGGGTTTGTTGTTTGTTGGGGTTTTTTTTTGAAAAAAAAAGGTAAAAAAAAAATTCTAAACAATTAATTAAGGAAAAGCAGACTACAGTAGATTGCTTTGTGCAGTAAATAAAAATCTGTTGATACAGGTACAAAACCCCTCCAAGCAAAACATTAAAAACCAGCCGACCCTATATATAAACCAGTGTGATTTTGCTGAATTCTTTAATGAATAACTTAGTGGATTAGGGCTTGATAGATGGAGTGCTCACATCCAGATGTTTACTGTGATTTGTCAATGGCCTTGTACTTAATCCTCTGGAACAGGAAATATGAGTCTTTTCTCTAGGGTCTCCCCTGGGGACTGTGGCAGTCTCTCTCTCTGGCCTGAATCATCTCAACACAGGATCAGGCTGCTGGGGAATTAACCAAGTGGAGGAGACACGGATTTGTTTTTAACCCGTTCAGTTTCCTCTCAGCTTCAGTTGACTTCCTCACCATCCGCCATGATGGGCAAATTGTTTAGTTAACACACAGAGAGGAAAAAAATGAGTCACCCGTGTTACCCCCTGAGGAACATTCACGGGGTCCCTGACCCCACAAAATGTGTCAAAGCAGACGCATCTAGTCCTGCCACCACTGAGGAGGAGGGCTGTGGGCAGATTAAGCCTCTAGAGGCTGGTGTGTGCATCTCTCCACATCTCGGCGTTGTACTTTTATTTTTGTGATGCTGCAGCTCCACAGCCACTGTCAGTGACAGGGATGGCCCAAAAGGGAGTATTTGTGAAAAGACTGGATGTCCCTAAGGTCATACCTTAGTCAGGTATACCAGAGAGTGTGTAGTGTGTGTGTATCTGCGTTTGTGTATGACTAAAGGAATACCGCCATTGAATGACAGCTCCCAGCAGCCACATCACTGCCTTTTCTATGTAATGTATTGGGTGGTGCTCGTCAGCCCATGACGTCTTGGATCAGCCAGTTGCATCTGCCCCAGTACCTGAGAACAGGGGAGGCCAGTGCAAAGCTGAAAATGCAGCAGCAGAAGCAAGGCAGTTACAGCTATCTCCTACGTGGTGCAGGTGCCCATGATTACACAGGTCTGAGCATAGGCATGCCCCCAGCATGTACAGGACATAAAGATATGATCATTCTTTTCTCCCCATGGCAGTTAAGGTGCCGTTGGGGATGCAGCCTGCCTTTAGGTAGAAGATAAAGAATCTCTAGCCTGGACAGAGTTTCTTCTGCAAAGCTTGTATAAGCCCCTCATTGGTGCTAGCTGGTAAAGTGGGGACTCTTAGAAGAACTGCATTTAACCAGCCCCTTGAGGCTGCCTATCCAGGGCAATCCCATTTACTAGCCCGTTATCCAGCCACAGGAGAAAACCTGCAAATGACTCTGTGGGGTAAGCCACTAAGAGTGCTGTGTGGACCGGGTAGGGGGAGGAAAAGCAACACCCAAGTCAGAGAGCATGACAACAAGTTATTATAACTGGATTAGAAGAACCGAGTGGCAGTGGGAGCTGGAGAGAATGGTTAAGTTTTGGTGTGGATGGGCTAGAGTCTAAGGGACTGATTGCGTGCATGTATGTGCTCAGGGTAAAAAAATACTTCTTGCTAAATCACAATGAAAAAAGCAGAGAGGTGAGGGAGCAGGCACGCGTGCCAGCAAGTCATCAGTTTTATGTTGTGTACCTGGTTACATTCATATGCAGGTGAAAGCACAGTTGAGTGTCTGTGGATGCCTGTGACTGGCCCTGTGAAAGGGACCTAGTCGCTGAGCAGACTCCAAAGGTGGTTGTGACAGCCAGGTGCCACCGTTCCTGGGGTGCAAGTTAATGATTTTGACTGGCAATGCCTCTGGGAGATCTGTATGGACATGTCTAGGGATGTTTCCTCTTGAAATAAAGTGTTATTTCTGAGGTAAGGTTTAGAGGGAGAATTATCTTGCATTACAAGAGCTGACAGAGCTGGAAAACCAGTGTGCAAGCTCTTCCTACAGCTATAATCCCTGGCATTCACTGAAAACAGATGAGCCAATACTTGCTGGGGTGCACAAGTGTGTCTGTATTTATCGCAGTTTCCTGGTCCCAAAAGGTGTTATACACATTTTGCAGGTTTAATACATTATTCCATTAAATAACTGTAAATTAAAGGGCCATTATTTTAAAAGGGCTGCTCTAGAAAACTTATCTGTCATTTTGCAACTAGGAAATACTTGTGTGACAGAAGTGGTCCTTCACTTCAAACACTGGCAGAACAGGTCAGCCATTCTGTGATAGAGTTCTCAAAATTAAGGGACACAGTTATGTTATGGGCAATTTATCTGTTACAGTAACCAGTTAATGTAATCACGGTTTTCTTTTTGGGCACTGTTTCTAACATCTTTGGGCATATTTCATGCACAGAGGTAACATTTTAAATTAAGTGAAAACCCACTAATCCCTCTGAATCTAGGTAAACTTTTTGAGGGAGCTGTCAGTACTACCACAAGGACTGAGTAAAAATGTCACTGCAGCGATGCCAACTGAAAAGCAAAATGGTCTTTCACTTAGTATTTTCTATACATATTTTGTTTGAATAGGAATATTCTGCAGGAATAGAGAGATATATATGGTTTAAGCCTATAGTATTTGTATACATATTTAGTATATTCCCATGTAGATCTTCAGTAGAATAGATGGGTTCATGAATATAGCAAATAAGATCTTAGCATTGATTGTATTACTGAACTGTAATTGAAGTCACTGTGTAAAACTGCTTCAATTCCTTTTTTTTTTTTTAATAAAATGTGCATCTACTGAAACATATCAGCCCTGGATGTGGGTTTAAGAATGCATCAAAGGTAAAGTACAGTTCGCAAATGCCAACATGAAGGTAACCCGATAGAAATGTTGTCACCTGCTGGCTTTGGAAGCATCTTTTGGAGCTGCACCATGATAAACTGGGGGGAATGCGGCGGGGGGGGGGGGGAGGAGAGAGAACAAACAAAACTGAAAAAAAATACCCAAAAATACCCAATCCCTTCCTTTGTTCTCATTACGCTGGGGGGGGGGGGGGGTGGGGGGTGGGGTGGGGTGGAAGGGGAGCACACACACACACCAAGAGGCATCAGGAATCCCCTGGGCTTTCGATTATGATTTGCATTACCGGGGACTGCGGGTTGACAGCCAGAGCCCTCTCTGCGAGCAATCCCTTTAGGGAGAAATCCACGCGTGGGGGCCGCACCGCAATCCCCACGGGGAGGAGGGATTCCCGCTTCTCAGGAGCGGGTCCCCGCCGCGAAGCCCCTGTCCGCCTCCCCACATCCCTTCGCCGCCGCGGTCCAGCGGCACCTGCGGCATCCGCAGCAGCCGCTCTGCTGGGGGCCCGTCGCGGTCCCCACGGGTGCGATACACTGCCCGGAACGTGTCGCTGCCCCGGTGCGGAGCCCTCCCGCGGGGCGGAGGCGGGGCGGGGGAAAAACGGCATCCCGGTGCCTGCACAGGAGCGCGGAGGAGAAGGGATCCTCTTTGACGTCAAGCGACCATAATATAATGATCGCTCGTTCATATCCGGGTCCCCGCGCGGCTCCCCCGGCCGCCGGTCGGCCGTGCGCCGCCGCGCAGTGAGGCGGAGGCAGGCAGGGTAGGGCAGAACAGGGCAGGGCAGGGCAGGGCAGGGCAGGGCAGGGCAGGGCAGGGCGGTCGGCCGGAGGTGTCCGCCGGCGGCGGCGGCGGCGGCGGCAGCGGCAGCGGCAGCGGCGGAGGAGCGGCGAGCGCAGCATGCCCGCCGCCTCAGACGCGCCTGCCTCCTGCCGCCGCTGCCCATGGAGATCGCGCTGGTGACTCTGGAGAACGGCGGCACCACGGCCATCGCGGGCAGCGAAGATGCCACGGCCGGCGGCAGTGCCCGGGCTCGGCGGAGGGGCAACTTGCTGCACATCGCCGGCTCCGCCGCTGCCGCTCCACGGCTGAACGACGGCAAGGAGGGTGCCCCGCCGCCGCCGCCGCCGCCGGAGGACGAGGAGAGGCCCCCGCTTGCCCCTCGGGGAGGCGGCGAGAGGCGCCGCAGCGGCAGCGCGTGCAGCCCCAACGAGCGGGCGGCAGAGCGCGGAGCGGCCCCTACGCCCCAACCGCCACCGCAGCCGCCGCCGCGCCGTGGTGCGGGGATGGAAATGGGTCCTTCGGAGGAAGGGGGGCACCGCCGGGGCATGGCCATGGCGGTGGCGGGCGAGGAGGAGGAGGAGGAGGCGGCGGCGGCGGTGGCGGCGAACCAGGGCGCCATGCACCACCAACGGGTGCTGATCAACATCTCGGGGCTGCGCTTCGAGACCCAGCTCGGCACCCTCAATCAGTTCCCCGACACGCTGCTGGGGGACCCGGATAAGCGCATGCGTTACTTCGACCCGCTCCGCAACGAGTACTTCTTCGACCGCAACCGGCCCAGCTTCGACGGGATCCTCTACTTTTATCAGTCCGGGGGCAAGCTCCGTCGGCCCGTCAATGTCTCCATCGATGTCTTTGCCGATGAGATCCGCTTCTACCAGTTGGGTGAGGAGGCCATGGAGCGCTTCCGGGAGGACGAGGGCTTCATCAAAGAGGAGGAAAAGCCTCTGCCCCATAATGAGTTCCAGCGACAGGTCTGGCTCATCTTTGAGTACCCTGAGAGCTCCAGCTCAGCCCGAGCCATCGCCATTGTCTCCGTGCTGGTCATCCTCATCTCCATCATCACCTTCTGCCTGGAGACCCTGCCAGAATTCAGGGATGAGAGAGAGATGCCTGTGCCCCAGCCCACACAAAGTGGAGGTTTGAATGGCACGACTGTGGAACCCCAACCCATGCAGCCACCCAGTAGTCTCTCTGACCCCTTCTTCATCATTGAGACCACATGCGTTATCTGGTTCACCTTTGAGCTCCTTGTCCGCTTCTTCGCCTGCCCCAGCAAATCTGAATTCTCCCGCAACATCATGAACATCATCGACATCGTGGCCATCATCCCCTACTTCATCACCCTGGGCACCGAGCTGGCCCAGCAGCAGCAGCCTGGGACTGGCAGCAGCAATGGGGGTGGGGGCCAGCAGCAAGCCATGTCCCTGGCCATCCTCAGAGTCATCCGCCTGGTCAGAGTCTTCAGGATCTTCAAGCTCTCCAGGCACTCCAAGGGGCTGCAGATCTTGGGACAGACCTTGAAAGCCAGCATGAGGGAGCTGGGCCTCCTCATCTTTTTCCTTTTCATCGGGGTGATTCTATTCTCCAGTGCTGTCTACTTTGCTGAAGCTGATGACCCTGAGTCTCATTTTTCCAGCATCCCTGATGCCTTCTGGTGGGCAGTGGTAACCATGACCACTGTGGGATATGGGGACATGCGACCTGTCACCGTGGGGGGCAAGATTGTGGGTTCTTTGTGTGCCATCGCGGGTGTGCTCACCATCGCCCTGCCTGTCCCTGTCATTGTGTCCAACTTCAATTACTTCTACCACCGAGAGACTGATCATGAGCAAGCTGTTCTCAAAGATGAACACAGTAGTGCTCAGGGCAGTACAGCTGGGGGAGATGTGAAGAGGAGAGCCAGTAGAAACTCTCTGAACAAATCTGTTGTGCACTTGGAAAACAGTGAGGGGTTCAACAATGGCACCAGCTCCTTAGAGAAAACCAATATCAAAGCAAAAAGTAACGCAGATCTCAGAAAATCCCTCTATGCTCTCTGTCTGGACACCAACAGGGAAACAGACCTGTAAGGAGAGGAGAGAGTTAGTTCAGAGATGCAGAAGTATTTGCTGGTGTCAGAAACTTACTACTATAATTATTATTTTGGTACCAGTTATTTTTTTTAACTCAGGCTATATTTTGTAAATTGATCACTGTCCTGAGTAGTCCTCCAGGAATACATGTTTTTATGTTCTTTTTCCATGACACAAAGGGTCACCTATTTTTAAAATAGACTAAGAACAAGCTATGCTCCATGATGCAGGAGCTGGTAAATTACAACAGTGCAAAATCTAATTTGTAGAAACTTATTTTGGCAAATGGCGGTCGGTTTTAAATGGGTCATTTGTAACCAATTCAGTTGCTCCATGTTTAGTATTAAAGAGTTGGAGGATGCGTGTGTGGAGAATGAATGGATTGGGGGGGAGGGAGGTTGAGGTTTTTGTACTGTAGTTTCAAATTGAAATTATTCCAGTATATTTTCTATCTATCTGTATAATTGTATTTATGGTTGAAAGGGGATTTCTTATTCCTGTGAAATGAAACATCCATAAAGCACTAGGAACATCAGCAGATCAGCACTTTCTGAGTTTTCCACTTGTGGTCTGTACAGATTGGTTAGGTAGTATGTGAAGTGAATTTGGTGCTTTTAACCCTATAGCAGAAAACTTCTATTGTCATTGATATGTTAGTTTCTTGTGAGCCTTAAATTATTAAATATTGTAGATACACTTCTTTATAAATAACTTTATTAATTACCTTGCTGTTTCAGAATTTCTAAATAATTTAGTCCTGTGCTTTACTGTCCCCACTCAAAAAAAAAAAAAAAAATATGTGCAGCTTTTGTGAGTTTTGTAGTTTTACAGGTTTATATCTATCTTCATTAGATTTTTGAGACCCAAAGAGAAAAAAATACTGTCTGCTGTTACTGGTTTGGATCCAAGTGCACAACAGAGTAAAACCACGAGGGAGTGGATAGATACAAGGAGAGGGTAGAGTATGAGTGCAATATCTGCAAAACTATTTTCAGTGTACACTCCAGATTACTTTGGCATGTGTATCAGTTACCTTTATTCATCCATACCATTTATGTACACAGTTCACTGGTTTTAATTATCATAGACTGGAAATGGATGGCACTTGAAAGAGTCTAACATGGCATGCCGTGCTCTTAAATAACCATTGCTTATATCTTGGACTTGGATGGAAAGCATCACCTTTCATCAAAACACATCCTTGTTTTCTTTTTATTTCCAAACAAAACCTTTTCAGTGCTGTGGATTTTACAGTTAAGATGTTGCTGAAAGACAACAGCTTATCTTCGTCATGATAACACAACACTGTACAACTTACTAGTGAAGACTGACACAAAGTTGCTTCTTTAACTCAAAAAGCTGTGTTATTGTTTTTATTGCAAAGGACTCTGTTTTCCCCTGAAACTTCTGTTTTATTACTGAAGGATGTTTCATGCCTTCAACACATACAATGGCAGAGCAAGACTAGCAGAAAGAGAAGTCTTGATTGTCAACGCTCAAGGTTTGTTTCTAACAAGTTTTCTAATACAACTTAAGTAAATACTAAATCAGGATTATAATTTGTGCAGGTATCTCAGAAATATGAACTGTGAGAAATATAAATCAGCTTTGCAAAACGGTGCTTTGACGTTCTTTCATCCAAACTCAGACTCTGCTTACTTGTCCCTTACCATGCTGTTTAATGATAATGGCCAAATGTATGATGTTTTTTTCCTTCCTCTTCAATAAAACAGGCATGGTATGTGCCAGGCAAGTAGTATTTTTCATGTTTCGGATAAAGAGCTGTCAAACATTGCTCAGCCCAAAACCTGGGGAGAGGGGAAGGATGTCGAATCTGATAATAGAGAACAGGATCTTTCACATTAATTTTAGATGTCGGTTTCTTGGTTGATTTGCTTGTTTATTTAGAAGGGGATTGATGGTGTAATATGTTGAGAAACTGTTTGCAACATGACTGATTGATACACAAAGTGCCCAGTTCAGCTGCACTCCTGACTCGGGCAGATCTCCTGTTTGCTTTAGTGGGAGGTGTTCTTTTTTTGTTGAAATGCAATGCATAATTAGCCCTTTGGTAAGGCTGAGCCTAAAGAAACGAGTGATATACTCGCCTGTTGCACATGATGAGATCTAAATCATTGACAGCCATACAGTGAAGCTCCTTTCTCAGCAAGTAGTTTAATTTACTCTCAGTGATTAAATCCATCTGATTCACCTGATGTACCAAACAATTCAGTGAGTCTTTCAGGACTGAAGTTTGGTTATGCCTTCCTCTAACTACTACCTCCACTTCCCTGACCACTTTTGTCTTCCATACTTTGCTCTTCTAATTGCTTATTGTGCCAAATTAGGCTGTCAGCTCCTTAGAGCTGGGGCAGTGTGTATATGCAGCCCCTCATGTAACAGTTGAACCCTGCTTATGGGCAAGGCTTCTGGATATTAATGATTTGGATTACCTAACAGTAATTACTGTTATTATTATAATTATTATGTATATAGGGCTATGGAGAGTGGGCTGAGCTGATCTTAAGACAGCATGGCTGATGAAAAGGGAAGGCCTTCTATTCCTCCTTCCTTTTCAGTTTTCTTCCTCCCATTGTGTCTTTTTGTTACTAACCCTGAATTGATTCTGTCCTTGTGCAAATACAAGTGTAATAAGTGCTGCCTTCTCTTCCAGGAGCTGCTTGACCTCACTAATCTGGCAGAAAATCCAATGTAGCAACAACAAGAACAAAGTAGATCTTTTTCTGTCAAATTAGTGAGTTGTAAAGCAAGTGATTGCCAGAGCCAGTGCTAGGAAGGGATGGAGGAGGTCCACAGTTACAGGGAAGTGAGGAAGCAGGGAGGAGTGAAATCCTCACCCTTCAGTGGCAGTGAACTGTTAATGTTATCACAACTGCTTTTTGAACCCTTCTGCATGTTTGCAGAGATAACCCAGGACTTGGTCTTGCAAGGTGCTGGGGTCTTTAACTTCCCACTGGAACCAATCTGCAAAATGCAGCTCTGGATTACAGCATATGTGCCCTGCTATAACTGAGACTAGAATTCTTCCCAATCAAGACCAAGCTCTGAGAGCAGAATGCCCTGACTACTGCACAGGGTTCTATGCAAGCTTGTGAATTCATTCCTCAACCTTCAGTTAGAAAGAACACGCTGCATATTTCCATAATAAACAAAGAGAACTTTCCAATGAAAAGAAAACCAATTATTCTCAAAATGTGGTTGAAAATATTTGTTTGGATCGGCTTTCTAAACAGTTGTCAAGCACAGCTCAGGCAAACTCAGCCTTGACACCTTCTTTACAAGGATGCATTCTATTGGCTTATAAGGCAGCAGAGGATTTGCTTTCTAATAAGAGAGGTTGTTGGCAGAAACTGAGTAATATGACCAGAAACATGGATTGATCACAATTCAGCAAAGCACTTAGTTTGAGCTCAGCTTTAAGCACATGCTTAAGTAAACATTGCTCAGCAGGTATTTCTGGACGCGCTGATCTTTGAGATAGTTATTTAAAAGATGAACTACATACCCTGATGAAACCTTTGAGCCATTAGTTCCCACTGGACTTTGGTGCAAATATTTAGGTGCATGGCAGAGTTTGTGAGCCTGAAAACAAGTGGTGGTGCTCTGTAAATCAGAGCACCAGATCCTTACTATAGAAAGACTGCCTCTTCCTGCAGCCACTGCTCACCTATCAGAGCAGTCGCTTTGACATAAACGGCTGCAGGCTGAGTATTAGCATTGTCTGCACGAAGAATTGCAGCTTTGGCCCAGATGAGAATGTAATTGGACTTTCCTGCAGTGAGAACCAGCTTTTGCTATAATTGATTTTGGTGTCAAGAAGCTTCATTGAGTTCAGTAGGCAGCATGTGTCTCTGTCTGGGATACAGACAGTGCAGAAGCCTTGTAACATGTTGATGCAAATTTCCACTGCAAAAATATATGAAAGGGAGAGCCAAATCACTCTGAGAAAGCTCCTGCAGATGTGAAACAGGAAGAGTTTAGGCTGTGTATGCCAATTCTAGGCTCATTACAAGAAGGAAATCTGTCCAAACCATTAGTGAGTTTATGTTAGCTGACCTGGAATGAATAGCAAACTGAATAAAACCTCTTTGGAATATCAAAAGCCACAAGATAGCAGAGCTTAACAAACAGCAAATCATTGTAAATGTAAAAAAAAAAAACCCAAAACCAAAAAAACAAAGTCAAGCCCTAACACTTTTTTGTAAACTTCCTTTACTAGGAGCTACATCACAGAATATTTCTCACCCCATGCATGCCTGCATGCCATAGTTAGTAATGGCTTGTCGTTACGTGCAGGACAGTATGTACTGAAATGCATTACCCTTCCATTCTTCCATTTTGGGGATGCTGAAGTGGATATTCCTTTGTGACAGCAGTAATGTTAGTTTGCTTAGCCTGGCCCCAAGGGAAGTCTACATTCCCATTTTACTTTTCCATCATTCTAAAAAATGGTAAAAACTGGCAGTTACGTAACTCCATTCATCTCCTAGCACTTTATGAACAATAGTACAATGATCTTCTATATACAAGCATTGTAAAGAAAAGGCTGTGCGAGGGAGGAAAAACCAAGCCTTTCAAAGGGGAAAAGGACAGGAGAGGCACAAAAATTGAGTGGGCTTGGCTGGACTGGGACATCTAAAATATGAGCTCTCAGAGGGGGAAGCAGGGAGAGAGATTCACCCTGTGGTCTCCATCCTGGTCTCTTGCATGGCTGTGGGTGGCTCTGCAGGCAAGGGCTGTATGCCAGTATTTGTGCACTGTGACCCATCTGATGGGGTCACTGAATACAGAGGCAGAGTTAATGCTGCTTTGAGCAGCACAGACAAATCCCTCTTTTGTGTGCTCTTTTTATTTGGACTTTGTGAGGAGAAAGTGGCACTTCTGTTGGCTGTTCCATGGCGTTTCATACTGCAGACAGCACTGTTCTGGTGCTGGTGGTGCTCTTGATTCACAGTGCACTGAGCGTTGCTCTGAAGTAGCTTCCCTTCTCCATGCACTGGCTGTTCACCTCTCATTAGGTAACAAAGCAAATAGCAGTGCACTTTTAGTCTCAGGGAAGAGAGGTATGTATGCAAAAAACCTTACTCTTCTGAAACATATCAGTTAAATGTATTAGTTGTGACCTAAACCCGGGAGACCATTTAGCAGTATGCAACAGTGCCACTTAGCTGTAGTGACAACTACCTCTGTGAGATTTGTTCAGGTCATTTGGCAAGATGTCATGACCAGTAGCGAAATTTGACAAGGCCTACATGCAGATTGCTGCCACACTTGGGGAATAACAAAAGGAGGGTTTTAAAGACCTAATCAAGGCTTTGGTCTTGCTGCTTGGCCAGTGATGGAATTGGTATGTTGTATGGCAGTCAGTGTGTGAGAGAGACCTCACTTAATAACAAGGTTGATCCTGCTGAGGGCAGAGGAAACTGTGAGATAAAGCTTTAACATCATCTGCCAGCCTTTGGTGCAGCTTTAGCTTGTCATTGTGTGACCCACCAGTTTCACTAACCTCCCTCCACAGGCTGTCTTGGCTACAAATGTTTAAAAAATGGAAGAGAAAAGGCCTTTATAATAATATAGCCTATAAACAGTAAAAATCATTGTTCCAAAATCTTTCTGCCAAGGTTTATGTTATATTCAGCAACTCAAAATATTTTTTTTTAGAACATGCCATTTAGTGTATTTGTAGCTTCAGTACAGTTTGGGGTGGGGGATGGGGTGCTCTTGCTGTATGCATTAACCACTCCCCATGTCAGCTTGTTAAATTTCTGTTGCTCTTGCCTTAATTTGGGACATAAGGGTGCTGATATTCTTCAATAAACCTAGGTTATACTGTCTGATGTCCATATGTCAACTCACAGTAGGAATAAACAGTAACTCCAGTAACTTAGCTGTGGCTCCATTGGCCAGAATATCCCTCATATCTGTAGGATGAAATATTGTGAAAAATGTGGGTATTGTATCAGTAAAATAATGTGAAATAAGAAGCTTTATGTTAACTGGAATAGGAAAAAACTAAAGCTCACAATGATATGACTAAAGAATTAATGATAATTAGAAGTTGCAAAGATAAATATCAACTTGTTTAAAGAAAAATAATAACATTAATACACAGTATATATAGTGCAGTGTTTTCTCGCTTCTGTAATTTGATAATGTAGTGTCCTTATTTGGTACTTTTTGATTCCCAGGTATCTATACTCTTATTTTTACCACTGATGAAAAAGACAAAACCAGAGGCAGACCCAGAGCTGTTGTGAACCAGTGCCTTGAAGATGGCTTGTTTACCTGGAAGCATTTTTTTTATTTTGCTTTTTTCAATAATACCAATTGATGCAATAAAAACTCATTTCTCTCTTCCTAAGTACTACAAGTAAGCATGTTTGTATAGTTAGTATATCTTGGCTGAAATCATCAGGGTTGAAACCAGTAACTACAGCTCCAGATTCTCATCACAGTATCAGCACTTCCTAACTTTGCTTT